TCCCACCGCAATACGTTTTTTGATTTTCTGGCTACTGGTGCCAAGAGTGTTGACCGTGGAGCCGAGCAAACTGAAGCTGTGAACAATCTCAATCTCTTCATCATCCATCCTGATACTACCAATTGGTCCAGTGGTGAGAATTTTTGTCTTCTGGACATTGAGCCTCAGTCCGTAGCTCGTATAAATTATTTTGTTTTTTTTATTTACCTACAAATGGGAATGACATCTGTCTACCTCACAGAATTATTCTGAGCATCAATGAAAAGATGTATGAGAAAATGCTTTATGAATCAACCACAAGCAAGAAATGTCAGATTCATCAATGCTTCTGTAAGTAGCGGCTGTGTCCGCCACCCTGACAATGCTCCCACATCAGTATTTCCTACAGCTGGCCATAGCTTTTCTCTCCAGGTACCTTATTCTTTCTCTTGACCACACTTTCAACACCTCCTTTACATCAAAAAGGCTTTCCCTTCATCTACTAAACCTGACAGTTTAGCCACCTAAACCTGATAATTTAGCCTCCTCACGTCTCACCTGTGTATCAGTCCCCTGTCTCAGTCAAGCCTGTCAGTTCTCCGTGGGCATTGCTTGCTCACCCACCTACAGAATGGAGGTGACAGAGGTGCACAGACGCTGTTCCCAGAATACTCATGCTGTCCTACCCTGGGACAGCAATTCCCACTCGACTAAAACATTACTTACTTAATGTATTAACTACATCAAGATGGGGAAAAAAATCTCAAAACTCTAACATTCTGCTCAATAATTCATTTATTTACTACTCTTTCAACAATCTACTTATTGCTCTTTAATTTCAAAGGAAATGGTTTTCCTTCTTTAAAAAGAACACTTAAGGGGTGGGGGGGCAGGCAGGGAAATGTGCAACAATGAACAACTGGAAACCCAAGTGCTTTATAAACCTTAATTAAAATCTCAATTAAAAATAAAATAAAAAGAACACTTATAATTTTAACCTCAAATCCCTTTTTCAATCAGTATCAGGCCTTCACTGTCAAATCATCTTATCCTTTTCAATACTTCTCAATCTTCTTATCATAAAACATTTTTATTCCCACTTTTATTCTATAACCTCAATTTTATTCTGAAAGTCTGTCATTAATTTTAAAAGAAACTTAATCAAAACTGGTCTTTTTATTTCTTTGTAACTGCTTAGCTATTCTTCCTCTTTTATTTATTTTAGAATTTTTATTGGAATTTGTTGATAGTTGACAGAACAAATTAAGTTTTCATGTGACTTATTTCTATAGCAAACTCTGGGTCTAGGACTTGACCCTCTCAAGTAACCCGTGAAGCTGGTAAAACAGCACCATTCACATTTTACAAATAAGGTTACTGAAGCCCAAATAGGTTCAATGATTTGGTCACAACTGGATAGCGAATAAGTGCCAAAGCTAAGTTTAAATACTTGTGTCTTCTTTCTTAATCAGAATTATTTTTGGCTAGTCAACTAAATAATTTGAGACTAGAAGAAAATAGAAACAAGAAGTGCCAGAATATTTGATGGAGATGAACTAGGATAACAGATTCTAAACTTCTTTTGGAACACTCTCATACTCTGAAATTTGACTGAGGAAAGCAGAGTTTTTGCCTGTGTGGATAATATCCAGTGTGTGCTGGTTAATGTTTCATAGCCAGCTTTTATGTGGAAGGCAAGAAGTTCTGCTTTATAATATGCACCTAGTTCAGTGAAAAAAATGTTATTATCAAAAGAGTGGCACTATCCTACATTTTTACAATTCTTTTCAATGTTAACAAAAGCAGCTAAATTTTCCCATGTGCTTCTCCACTCAGCCTGAACACCCACCATGCAGCCCCGATCACACACCATGCAGTGCCCTGAAATAACACTGTACAAGTGTGGGCAAATGAAAATAAAAAAGGGAAACAGTATCTTACTGTCACTGTGGAAATAGTTCTGCTTTCTGGACTCTCAAAAGAATCACTAATTCAGATGATAAACAGTCCTCTGGTGAGCCCAGTACATTTCTAATCATCCTGCTATGAGATTTATTACCCATACAGAGGTATCAGGTGTTACTGAAAGCAAATTATTTGCTCAAGTCTATTTCTGTGATTAATTAAAAGCTGAGTGCAGTCAGAAAATAATTTTTACTATTAAATTCTTTGCCACTGTTACTAATAAAAAAATAACCTTCTGAAATCCTTTCTATAGCAAAATACAAGTTCTATAATGATTAGAGTTGAAAAAAAATCCAGCCAGATGACAATCTTTGCAAATAAAACATAAATGACATCTTATGTGATTTAATAGAAGCAATGATAGTTTTTTAATGGAATAAGATATAAAAAAATACATTATTCCTAGCCTCTTCTTAACTGGCTGAGACCTAAATGTGAAAGAAGAAATAATGAGTCTTGCTCAAGTTACAGATGTCCATACCTAAATACCAAGTCACTCCAAAAAACAGATTTCAGTACACAGTACAAAACTAACACACACACCCTACACCCCCCACTCTTCTAAAAAAAAAAAAAAACAAAACCCCACAAACTCCACAGTACCACAAACCCACAAAACAACCCAACAATAAAAAACAAGCACTGAACACCAAAAAATTCTCAAAACATTGAGAACCAAGTAAAATGGACTATAAGCAAATTGAGAAGAGGAGGAAAAAAAGGATATCATTTTCAACAAAATTTCTGGCAAGAATTCTAATTTTTTTGTTCCTTTTGCCACAAACTCATATTTAAAGATGATTTTGTCCAAAGAATGAGGTATGAGATTTTTATGAATAAGCAGATATGAAAAAAGAATCACTTTTATGTTTTATAACTTTAATTCCTCTTAGTTTATTAGCAATCTAAGTGAATTTTAAAATTCAAAGTCCTCAGATCACATTGTAATGCAGGCCAGTATTTATAGCAAAGACTTCTTTCACGTGAGAAAAGGAGACAGTACTTTCTGAAATGTTACATGTGAAGAACAGTGTTGAATGGTCACATATACCATAGAAAGTATTCTGAAAATTACTCCAGTCATATCAGGCTTATGTCCATATCATTAAGGTTTAACACTGATCTTTGTTCAATAGTTTAAAATACGATATTAAAACTCAGTGATCAATTTTCACTGAAATTAAACGCTTGCTACAGAAAGACAGAAAACATTGCTTATTGCCTTGTAAATGAAGGGAAGTGCTTAATTTTTCAAACTTACTTTTTTTTCTCAAATCGAAACAAGGTTTCAATCTATTCCCCTATCATGTGAGTATAAAATAAGAACATTTCTATTTTCTTGGACTTTGTTTATAATATCAACTTTAGAAAAGTAAAGAAAAAGTTACTGTAATTTGTAGATTGATTTTCTATACTGTACCTGACTGTAATGTCTGTTCAGAAACTATGGATGCATCAAGAAGAAAACAAAGAATCATTAGTAAAGCAGTAAGTTAGTCAAAATCTAGCATACTATGACAAAACATTGTAAGAAGGCTTCACTTACTTTTACTCATTCAATGTGATGACTTTATTTTTTCTAATGGTACCTGACACACAAATATTAACAAATGGAAATTTAGTAATGTAAATCCTCTATGTTTAGGAAAAAAATTCCACTCTAGTTTGACAGATCAAATGTGACTTCTGGACTTGCTCTTCAGGTTGTACATATATGTGTAAAGCAAAAGATACAGAGGAGCAAGGGCCCTAATACATTTGATGAACAGTGGTAGCTGGTAGATGTCTGAAGTCTGTGCATGTGTATGGTTTTTGTATAGTTATTCAACTGGGTTCTGCTAGTTTGAGCTTTCTGTATTTACCTAGAGTTTTTTGTCAGTGAAATCAATACAAACTAATATGAATTATCCTCAAAATATTCTCTCAAATATCAACCACATTGGAACAAATTGATATTTTACAATAAGTGTTATAGTAGAACTTATATACTTTTGTAAAGGCTTATTTTACATACAATAAAATCCTTAAGGATCTAAAAGTAATGAATTATCAAGGTTGGAGACTATTCTGGTCTCCTGCTTCTCCTTTTCTTTACCTTCTCACTTTCAACTTTTCCTTACTAATGCCTCAACCAGGAGTCCTACTGGTATGGTGGTTATGGAAAGATTAGCAGTTGTATCCTATCAGCAACTCTTAGGGGAAAAGACATCGCAGTCTTCTCCCATAAAGACTGAGGCCTCAGAAACCTTACTGCATCTTTTTATCATTGGACACCATGCTTGGTAAAATAAAGAGAAGACTTTCAATAAGATAGACTGGCACAGTGATTGCAACAATGGGCTCAAGTCCAGTAACGATGTGAGGATGCCGCTGTCAGGCATCATCCTGCTGTACGGAGGGTTGTGAGCCAGGGCCCACTGGATGGCACCTAACAACAACAGATCACGGTGAGTTGGAATGAACAGTAATGCGTTTAATGCCTGTACAACCAGGGAGGCAGAGGTGAGAAAATACATGATAGTCAAGTCTCAGCTGTGGGAAGCCAGGAGAAGTCTGACACTTGAAAGGAAATACTAGGTTTTTTAAAAGAGTTTTAGTAGATCTCAGTCCCATTAGCCTAGCAACGTATCCCTGAGGAGCAGACTGAAATTAACTACCTCAGAGCAACGAGGAATCTGAAAGGTTCCATAACAATCACTCAACCACGCAATTTACCCAGAATCACTCCTAGAAGGATAATTCTTCCTATGTGAACATGGAAATTTAAGTTTGGTTTTGAGCCTTCTGAATAGACAAAGGAGAAATGTTCAGAAATTTAGAAGTTTAAAAAAGGAGGGGAGGTTATTAAGAAGTCTAATTTATGAAGTTCTACAATGATTATCACTTACTAACATAAGAAGATCAAATTTTTCTAATTTTAAGAAAAAAAAAGACATGGAGGAAAAAAGCTATTATGAAAGTAATATTTGTATGTACTTATGTCAAATAGTAATAGTGGCAATAGCATTCATTTTGTGTAATTAGCAAAATTTAACTTATGAATATGATTTAATACTGTTTCAAACAATCACAATGAAAGTGTAAAACTAAGTTACTTCTGAATAAGGACTAAAATAATATAATCAATGTACCAGGTTTTTCAGTAAAGCATCTATTTTCTAATTAATTACCAAATGTTCTTTTAAAAGCACTGTTGTTGTTGATATTGTTAGGTACCACTGAGTCAGAAATGACCCATAGCCGACCCTCCAGTGGGTTTTCAAAGGTCGTAAATTACATGTGAGGAGACTGCCCATCTTTTCCTGCTGAGCAGCCAGTGGATTAGAACTGTCTGCTTTGGCTTAGCAACACCACTCCTTAACCACTAAGCTACCAGAGCACTAGCTGAACATTTTAATAATTCCTTCCTTGTATAAAGTTAGTATCAAACTATTTAGCCCCTCAATTATAATCAAGAATAGAAACTATACCTTGGCTCAGTGTAAGGCTTAATAATACCAGTGGTAACATAAATATGTTGTAAGAGACAAACTTCTTTTGGAGAAAGGAATTTTATGAATAAAAAAAATTACCACCTTAGAAATTCCTTTCCAAAATAGCTTCAATCATATCTTAAAAATAGAACAATTATTTACACAAGTTGATATTTGCTTCTTGAATTTTTATACAAATGACATAATTAAAACATAAAGTATCCATACCACGCAAACTTCCAGTAGTTAAGAGTGCTCGTGCTTTGTCAGCTAAATCACTATTTAGAGTATTTCCCAGCAGTAAAACGTCAATGGCCTCTTGCTTGGAGCTGTCAAAGAAGTTGTTCTGAATTGTTCGAGTAACAGAACGAGCACCATCTTTTAACTTTCCAGCCTGTTGGGGAAGAAAAGAACAATGACTTTCATTTTCAGTATTATTGCTTCTATCAATTATTATTTTGAAAGTTTAAGGCTGTTTTGTAAGATTTTACTGTAATAAAAGAAGACTTAATTCTGCTTGGAATATCTAACTACCACCTTAAAATGACTCAAGATGTCATGTTTCTGACCCTCTGCAGAGATAAAATATCACATGCATACCAGAACTGTAGCAGTATTTATAACAATAAATGCTTAAAATTTGTTATTATAAAGGAAATAAACTCAAGTAAGCTTAATTAAAAGAAAAAAATCTCTAAATCTTAAGGTTACGGCTGGAAATGAGAAGCAAAACAGATAAAAGAACAAGTAATGAAGCTACGTGCTCTTAGAAAAACATAAAATTACTTTAATCGGAAACTAATTTTAATTGATGCCAAATAATCTGTATTAGTTAATATGAAAACAAAACATAGCAAAAGTATAATGTAAAAAGAAACTTATAATCATAAATTGTTGTTGTTGATTCCTTTGAGTCAAGCACGACTCACAGCGACCCTATGAACAAAAGGCCTTAAGCCCCTCTACAACCATCGACATTTATCAAAGTTCATAGTGTTTCTGAAGGCATGCTGTTTAGGAAGTGGATGCCTATTTGTTAATTACAGTTCCTGTAATAATTTTAGTATCTGTGTAAGTATACATTTAGAAAGTATTATATTTATGCTAATTCTAAGACTTGACTATTATTTTGAATGAATGTGTATTTCACTTGCGCCTGATTGGTACTATAAAGAAGATTTCTTTTCATCCTACAGACTTTTATACCTTTTTAAAAAATTGCTGCAATGTATAATTGTTACTTTTCAAGGAAATAATAGCAAAAGAATAATAAAAGGAAGTAAAGGCTTCCTTTTAAAATATTGGGTCCTGGTAGCCTGGTGTTTAAAGCATTCAACTGCCAACTCCAAGGTTGGTTGTGTGAACCTATCAGCTTCTCCTAGACAGAAAGATTTAGTAGTTGGCTGCCATAGAGACTCAGCCCTGGAAACCCCAGGGCGCAGCTCTAGTCTGTTTTACAGGATTACTAGGAGTCAGAATAAATTTTGACAGCAATAGGCTCGACATTTTTAATATAGTTTTTAGAATAAAGAATCAAATATTTAAAATGCCATATGCTAAAAATTAGATATTTAATAATTTACTTAAATTTGGCAATAAAATCCTATTTTCTTCTATAGAACGTAACATACACAAAGGATGATTTGAAAAGAACTCACCATTCACATTATCAGGCAATTAATCAAAAGGAGTCCAGAGAAAGGAAAAGAAAGAGCAGTTCAGATGTTAGTTCAGATCAAAGTTGTATATTTAATGTATAGATATTTCATATCTACATATTAAAGAACTGAAATCATGTAACCTCTCTACATACATTGTCTTAGCTAATGTATAAGTAGAAAGATGTAAGAATATGAAAAATACTTTTAAATAACAGCTGTAGAAAAAGGGCAAAAGAAAAGCTAGCATAAGTTTCTCTATTTAAAGGGAATAAAAAGTTGGCAATTTCAGAAGCAAATATTTATAAATGGTAGGTTCAAATTCTTTCTAAGCACTGAATTTTTTAAGTAAGGTAAATATCTCTGAGCTTTGATTATGAGACATGTGGAAATTTTACAAGGGATGGAAAGGGAGGATAATTTGTAAACGGAGATAGACGTGCAGATGATAGTCTTAAGAATTTCAGCTGTTTGGCCTAGGAGCAAGAATCTGCACTGCAATCCCAGAGGCACGCAGTTCAAATTCACCAGATGCTCTGCTGGAGAAGGAGGGACAATCTCTTCCTGTACCAGTCAGATCTGATTTGACAGTACAAAGCAAAACAGAAAAAAAAAATGAATTTCAGCTGTTATACTAAAGAGGATGCACGTGAATCATAAAAGCGGTAAGGTTTATATTTCTCTTCCTAAGGTACTCTGAGGCACTTCAGAGTATTAATAAATTCAACTGAGGTCAGAGTTCTTTAAATCTTAAACAACAGGTAAGTATATAAAATAAGGGAAAAAACCCTCAAGTATGCTATCAAAATCCCTCAACCTAGGTCAACACTAGGGGAGGAAGTAGTCTGTGGACAAAGTAACTAAAAATGGGCAAAGAATTATAAGAAAATCCATACTTCTTCATCCATTTCTAGCCATCCATTATAAGGCAACTAATTAAAAGAAGAAAAACCTATAAAAAGCTCCTATTGTGCTGTGTTCATTCACAGTAAATAGTTAATAAATTGTCAGTTCCTCTATTCATCCAACATGTATGTGGGCATTGCATTAAATTGGGAACATACAGTCAAAAAGCCTATTTTAACAAAATAAGCAATATTAAAGGCAAAACAGGTAGGTAATATAAATATATAGGGGGAAAGTCACTAAATGACTAAATGGGGAGCTCAAAGGCATAGTCTACAGCAAGTTTCAAAGGCTGAGACTTGCCCACAAGCTGAATCCAATCACTGGCTTAGAAGGACAAAGATAGGCAATTTCTCACCATTGTGATTTACAGCTGTGGAAGCCAGATAGGTCACTACAAATTGCGAAGGGAAGTCAGGATTAGTAATAAGTAAATAAAAAAGTCAGTCTAAACCTAAGGAGTGTTGGTGGCCTAGTGGTAAGGAGTTGTGCTACCAACACAAAGGCAGGGGGTTTGAATCCATCAGCAGCTTCAAGAAGAAAGGCAATCTCCTCCTATGTGACTTACAACTTTTGAAAACCCACTGGAGAGTCAGCTATGAGTTGGATTTGAGTCAGCTACACATAACAACAAACCTAAGGAAAAAGCTATTCTTGATTTAACCACTTAGATCTACTATAAAAGAAAATGTTAAAGATATAACAAGAAAACCCCACAGATCACCAAAACATTTAAAAGCTTTATTAAAAAAAAAAAAAGAGAGAGACTCCTTAACATTCTGACAGATCTGTACTTACCTTGGCCTTCCCTTCAAGTGCTCCAGTTCCTGCATATATCTTACTGATCGAATCACCATTTACAGACCACATGGACCGAAAGACTTCTTGAAAACGAGTCACCAACTGAGGCTTTTCAGCTAAGCCAAGAGCTTCCAACTGCTTAGCTAGCATCTGAAACAGCAAGACAAGCTTTCATAAATATATACTATTAGTCATGGACTTTTAGAAACTACCAGAATCAATAAAAAAATTCTACTTACAGCTGTACATAGGACTGGATTTTAAAAACATAAACATTTACTAGCCTAACTTTATTTTCCCACTATGTAAAGTCTTAAAGTAAATACCACATCAACTAAACTTACAATTAACATAATATTCCCCCTAGGTGATTAAGAATTTCTTTCTGATTAAATAGCAAAATAACTGTATGAAAATATACCTGTAAATGTAATTAACCTACAAATCAAACTAGTTCACCTTGTTTATCATTTTGAAGAACAATTCAACAATGTGCATTGTTGCAGACAAAAATACTTCCATAATTTATATCAATTACATATGGGAATATCTACTTTTCTTTAAATTCTTCCCCCACGTAACTGTTTTCTAAAAATAATTTTTAATTTGGTTCTGTTGTTGCTGTGTGGGTTAAGTCAGAACGGACCCACAGCTGACCCTCCAGCAGGTTTCCAGAGGCAGTTTAGTCACACAGGAGGAGATTTCCCATCTTTCTCCTGTGGAACATCTGGTGGATTCGAACTATGTCTTTGGGATTGCAGTGCAGCTCCTTTCCACTAGGCCACCAGAAATCCCTTTAGTTCTATAAACCTGACTAATTAAGGTTAGTGAATTATGGAAAGAGAAGAGCTGCTCTTAAACTGTCATAAAAATAAGTGACATCGCTGGATGAAGTCATGGCAGTTTTTTAATGTATGAAGTCTACACTGACAACATGTACGAGGGAAAACTAGGAAGAATATAGCATGCAAAAGATGCAAGAAACTTTGGGTTGTTAACAGTCTTTCAAGACAGTGTTTAAACAAGCAAAAGTAAATGGTGTTCATTGTGATTGTATTCTAGCTTTGAACACTGGCAGAGTCAAAGCAATGTACAATAGTTTACCTATTTTTGTTTCCTTTAACATTTAGAGTCCAATCCTATTCTGTTTAACATTTTTACTTACCTTCTCCTGGCTGTTTCGTTTTGGCTAATCTATCAAAAGCATGATTATCTACAACTTCAATAACAAAACTACTGCTGTCAAGATAATTCTGACACATAAACAACCCTGTAGGATAGAGAAGAACTGTCCCATAGGCCTGAATTCACTGGATGCGGGAGCAGGTGGTGGGTTTGAACCCCAAAACCTCTTGTTGCACAGCTAAGCACTTAACTGCTGACTTAATTACTGTACATCACAACTTCTTAACGTAAGTATAGCAGGATAACAACCCAAAATAATATAAAAATTTTAAACTATGTTCATTTTATTACCTAAGGATTTATTCCTTTCTAGAGGTTATCTATCTTTGTTAGCATACAGAATAAAACAAAGTAAGCCCTCAGGACATCCTTTCTCTCTCTATCAAACCATGTCAAGGACTTGGACAAAATCTGATTTTACTATTAGCAGGAAATTTTGTAACTAGCCAACCAATTGCTATATATTTTAGAGTATTCTTATGCTATCATTAGACAGCCTAGTTTGATTCTGAAAACTGATACCTATTGCACTTTTTTTTCACATAAATCTTTCTTTTAATAAATAATGCATATTCATGGTTTAGACTTTTAAATCACAATTTACAGATGAGGAAACCTGCTAGGCACACTAGAGAACAGTAAAGCTATTACAGCTGGAAGGAAGGCATGCCCTACATGCGTTTAGACCTAAAGTGCAGAGTTGACAGCAAGACCACCACAGATGTCATCCTCCAGGTAAGTGGCAAAAGAGGAGAGCCTAGTCATGCTCAAGCCCCACCGTCTGAGCCCATCATTTGCATGCTGCAGAGCCAATGGAAAGCTGTGCTACTTTTAGATGAACTAGCGGTTTCCTCATGATCATTTTCAGTGAAACATGCTGCTACTGATAGTAGTTAGGCAAGGACATTAGGTACAGAAGGGTATTCCGCTGATGGATACAGACACTATAAGAACAGCAAAGAGGAGGTTACATAGGTAATCTTGTTTCTTTAAATATCAGAAACTTCTGAATTGTCGAAGGGGAAGATTGGAAGGAATTCCACCTCCAAGACGCTTACATGTTGCAAGGAGGGACCAATTCTTGGAGAGGGACGTCATGCTTCAGAGGATGGAGGGACAGCACAGGAGAGGAAGAACCTCTATGAGGTGGATTGATTCAGTGACTGGGGTAATCGGGGTAAGTGTGTTGGAGACAGTGAGATTGGCACAGGATAGAACAGGGTGTAGGGCTGTCTCTATGAGTCACAGGCGACTTGTGGCACATAACAACAACAAAACAACAAGTATCAACATACCTAAGTTTGACATTAACAAGAGCAAGTTAAAGCTATATTTTAAGTGACTCAAACACTGATTCTCAATTTTTTGTTTTAATAAAAATGAGTACATGTTTTACTAAAAACAAAACAAAACAAAACAAAAACTTCCTGTTGGCATTAGGACCAAACAAAGCTCCCCGTACTTCTGGCATCATCTGCTGGGCTATGAGATCCAGCTGGCTTTCAAGGGTGTTGGAAACCTTTATTTTACGATCTCCATTATAGATCTCAACACCACCAGCTATGTCCTCAGACAAGTAGGTCTCCTGATCAATTTGGACATCAACATCTTTTTTGGTGGCAATTTTGTACATAGGGATTGCTTTTTGAACAGCAGCCTTTACTAGAGGGAAATCCTGTTTCCTGCAACAAACAATCATTTGGGGCTCCAGCAACTGGTACAAACCCTGGAGGACCAGTCCATCCAGCAGCACTTGGTATCTGGTTATATCTTTTACCACCTCACTGAGTCTCTGTTTCGCTTCATTTAGTAGGTCTGTGATAAGGTCATCTCTTGCTCTGAGGACTTTCAGTCTTGCTTGATTCATCAAATTAGACATTTGAATTTTCTTCTGCTGCTCAATCTGCTTTTCTTTCTTCTCATAATATTCCATAATCTTCAGTCTTTGGGTTTGCACAAGACGGCCTTTCTCAATGTTGAATTCTTCCTCTGCCTTTGCATCTATTTCTTCTGCCTTCTCATTGGCTTCTTGTTCAATGAAAGCCATCATGTGCTTAATCTGTTTTTGTATGCCTGCATCGCTGAGGGCCATGGTGAAAGTGTTGCTAGGCCGGCAGGAAATAAATTCAAGTTCAGGCTTAAATGGAGCGGTAGGTGGAAACCGAGAGGAAAACCCAGCGTCCCTATTGCATTTTTAACCAAGATTCTCAGGTATTTCAGTATCTCCTCAGAATCCACTTAGAAACTGAACCCAAATCTTCTGACAAATGTCATCCAAATAAACAACATGCCTGTTTGTTTTTAATTTTGTACCCCTGCTTTATTTTCTAAATAAATGATAAAGAACTTCAATGGCATATTTAAAAAAGATCAAATAGTATAATTGATGTAGCTCTTCCGTGGCAGAGATTTTTTTTACACACTATAAAAGGTTGTGCATTTTATTTCATCTCTGCATTCACTTTCGAGACACAAATAACCTCAGTTCCAGTGAATCTATTTAACTGATAGTCTGGTCAACTTTAAGATCATTACCTAAAGGAAATAAGAGCCTTCCATTTCCTATTTCTAGGGATTTAAAAATTATGTTTGTGAACTATGTTAAGAAGAAAAGGAAGCTTTGCCATATTCTATGATCCTAACTATCGCGTAAAAGGAAAGACAGCAAGTTTAGCATTGTTATAGAGTTTGTCAGATAAGAAGTTGAGACTAGATCTGCTAGACATAATCTGACAGATGAAATGGCATAGCAAAGTATTTTTAAACAAAGACAGTCTTAAAGAAGTTAACCACATTCACTTCATTTTCATTTTTACCTTTTCTTTTTTTTTGCTCTTGATTTGAAAATGTATATAAACCAGACACTATGTTACAGACTCTTGTTAAAATGTAATCCTGCAAGGATGTACTTAACTCTCCAATTAATAAGGAATGAGATTGAAAATATTT